CGGCCCTCCCTGATCCCTAACGCTCAGTGGGCCTCCGTGGCTGGCTCCCAACATCTTCCCCTTTTTTATTTATTATTTTAGTACAAAACCATGAAACTCGGTGTTAAGCTGAAAAATGTTTCTTTTCAATACTCTGGAAATACCTGGAAATAGGCACAGCAAGACAAGAATTACTGTCCCGCAAATTCTTACATTAATAAGTATAGACGTTAATGACTTTTGATTAGCAAACAATGAGAAGTTATTAAATATGGAGCTAGTCAATTCATAGGACCGGAACTGCTTTTTAGCAACTTATGTCCTGTATGTCTTAATGTAATTTAGTGAGGTTTTTATTTAAGTCCGAATGATTTTAAATTTTAAGGATATGATTTTTATCTTGTCCCAAGTATGGACAGACTTATTTACCTCCAAAGGAATGAGGCAAATCCACTGAAACTCAGAGCGACATCAGAGAACCAGTTTTATTTTTAATGTCGCAAGCTCTTGTTTTACTGCTAACACTGCCTTTGTTTTTTAAAGCATTAACTTTTATTTTTTAACTTTTAATCTACAATTTTTTGAGTAGCCAATGTGATAGAAATATCCTTAGATAACTGATTAGCAAAGGTAGCTGTATGAACTTCCTTAGATAGAGCTACAGCTGAAACAGTTACTGAAGTAGTAATTGCTATTAATGCTATAATTTTTAAAATTAAGTAGCTAAAAAAATTTTTCTGTTTTTCTAACATAGCAGTAACCTTATATAATGTTTGTAAACCATTTCAGCATATTAACGGGATGACAAAGATATGGGGACCATTAAATAGGGGAGTTGCTTGAGAATGACAAATTTCTTACAAAAGGCCTTGGTTAAACAATTAGTAAAATGCATTCAGTACAAGATATCTTATAAACATTAGCACGATAAATAATTTTAACAGTTTGATATTCACTCTAAATAAGAAATATATAAGGAGATTGCAAGTATGCTCTAATATGGTATAACTGAGTTTGTCCAACGGATTTAGACAGGCTGCCTGGCTGAAGGGCTGCAAGAGCTCTCCATAGATGAGGTTGAATAATCTGCCGGACACCGTACTTGATGGACAGTACTGGAGGCACCCATCCATTGGAATGACACCTAGCTGCGGCAAGCGTATAGCCATTAAAAACCCCAGTCACTAATATATTCTTATACCAGGCACAGGATAGTCCACCTTAGAGTTATAAGCACAGTCTCTTCATCTCAGGAAGCCAGTATGTTGCTGGATGAGTGACCCGTCCTTTTCTGTATCATTGAAGGGGCAAACAGATGCTGATAGGCGTCTAGTGGCATGATAGGGTTAGTTCCTCCAGGCATTAACATTTGCAGCCATCATCCATCCTGATAAGGGCTTTCTGTACTTAGAGACTTAAAGGTAGATATTAAGCAAGAAGCCCGGTAATTATTAAAAGCAGAATTATTATATTATTATATTGAAAACTTTAGAGACATGTAGTTACGTTATAGCTTAAATTGAGAATTTAAAACAGGTAAACATTGGCAGGAGACAACAGTTTCCTTTGTTTTTATAATAGGTGTGACATACTTTTATAATAATTGATGTGCTAGAGAATGAAGCCCAGGTTATTCTCCATTCATTTTGTGGCAGGAAGCGGCAAAGGCTTAAATATATATTTCTTGTATGATTGTGTGAATAAACACAGAAACATGTAACTGGTTCAGGATCAGCAGTTGGCCTCACCTGGGCTGCCACTAGCCCAGCGGCAAGGTTGATAGCAGTTAGAGGTATTTCACTTTGAATGGCAAGTTGCAACTTTAAAGGCCCGCCCAGGCGGGTTTTGTTTAAGAAAGGCCAAATGGCCCAGAGACTGGCCATTTCATAAAAAAAGTCTTATTTGGCCAAAATTACAGTTTAACGAT